TAAGTGTATCACAGTATAAGGTAGCTATCTTTAAGTGTATCACAGTAAGGTAGCTATCTTTAAGTGTATCACAGTATAAGGTAGCTATCTTTAAGTGTATCACAGTATAAGGTAGCTATCTTTAAGTGTATCACAGTATATGGTAGCTATCTTTAAGTGTATCACTGTAAGGTAGCTATCTTGAAGTGTTTCACAGAAAGGTAGCTATCTATAAGTGTATCACAGTATAAGGTAGCTATCTATAAGTGTATCACAGTATAAGGTAGCTCTCTTTAAGTGTAGCACAGTATAAGGTAGCTATCTTTAAGTGTATCACAGTATACGTATAAGGTAGCTATCTTTAAGTGTATCACAGTATAAGGTAGCTATCTTTAAGTGTATCACAGTATAAGGTAGCTATCTTTAAGTGTATCACAGTATAAGGTAGCTATCTTTAAGTGTATCACAGTATAAGGTAGCTATCTATAAGTGTATCACAGTATAAGGTAGCTCTCTTTAAGTATATATTCAACAATTTATCAAAGTCAATTATAACAGAGATATCAGATGATCCAGATTTAAAATCACATGTTTACAGAATTATACAGATATAATGATATGGATTGGTGATATGACACATGCATGCAATGTTTACAATAATATTAAATGGACTTTATAACGGATCTTCAGTATAAGAATTGTACTTCATACATTTATATCATTTAGACTCTGTATATTGTAGATACAATAATATCATTTAGTAATCTTCTATTATCTTTATTTAAGTATTCTAAGAGATATGGTTTAAAGCAATATATATTGTAAGACTGACCTTTCTGTTACAGTATTTTTCTGCATGAAATAAATACAAATATGTCTAAGAAGTATACAGATAGATCTTAAAAGATTAAAAAATAATTCAATCTGGATAATCAACTTAAGCAATAAAACATTTAGTCAGACTTCAATGTACAGTCTGTATGTGTAACATCCTTAATCACACAAATCAATCATTGTCGATAATTAACTGTTAAAACATTCACATGGGTAACTGTTTTTCGTATCTGGGAGGGTTAGAAACTAAAAAATATGAACAAAACTCACAAACATTATGAGTAGACACGAGATAGATCACATTATCAACCATCTTGGTTAATCATCATCACACACTCAACATATTAAGATTTCAGTTACTAAGGCATAAGTTAAATAGGACCAAAACCCATTCAAATTCATATAGCAAAACTTTTCCAAGTTTAAAAAAACGTAGTTTTAGTTTGATGTGGGCAAGTCATAGAATCAATAAAAAAGTTTCCTGCATAGAAGTCTGTCACTTCCAGGAAAACACATAAAACCAGGAAATGAATTTTAGCAATCAGAACACACATTTAACAACCAGGATATAGATTACAATAATACTATTAAGTCCAAATGTACTTGTATTCTGTAGCCACCTAACAAATTGACTCCATGGACATTTGTCTTGATTCTATTACTTTTGATAATTCTCTGTAGGTGGTCATTCTTTCACACTAAATATATTGAATAACAGGAAGTTATACGACCAAGGGACATTCTGAGATAAACAATTCCCTTATCTTACCTTGAAGACAGAAGATATGCCTGTGCCAACCAGCACACAAGATCCTCAAAGATATACAACATCCCAGATCTCACCATCAGGCTGGGATGGCTTACAATTACAACCAAGGGCAAATATGACATTATGCTAGTATTTCATTGAATTTTTGTAAAATTGTGCATATGTCTAACTATGACAGGTAATTTGTACAGTCTTTGTCCCACATATCTATGACCGTCTCACCTGTGGAAGCCCCCCCACCCCCCCCCCATCACATATCCAAAATATGCTCCTGTCAGCGGTAAAAAGTCCTCCATATCCAAATTACGCCCCTGTCAGCGGTAGAAAGTCCTCCAAATCCAAAATACATCTCTCTCAGCGGTAGAAAGTCCTCCAAATCCAAAATACATCTCTCTCAGGGGTAGAAAGTCCTCCATATCCACAAAACGTCCCAGTCAGCAGTAAAATGTATGTCCTCTCTAATCACAGTACAATGTACATGTATTACCTTCTTTTTGACATTATTCCTTCCTCTCCTTAATTCACACATTTGATTTTTATTCCTGTAGTCAGTTTCAACTTTGGCTAAAGAGATAAGCATGCCAGACCTATATATTATGGCTATATTTTAATATCATCAGCAAATATCAAATACTGTCATATGCATTTTTTTCCTCAGTTCCACAACGGCATGTGAACAGAAATCCATCCTGTTTGAAAGACAAAAAACAAAATATAACACAGGATTCTCCAAAGTATAATATGTAAGAATCAGGAGATAAATCGTAGGTAATTACTGATAAATAGCTACATCATTGTTGTAACTTTAAGTATATAACAAGAGGCCCAATGGGCCTGCATCGCTCACCTGGTATAAAACTCACACTTGTAACCTTAAAGGTGATCTAAAATAAAGCTACAGGCAAAATATCAGTATTTATGATTAAAATTCATTCAAAAGACCCTGTTAATTTTTTTTTAAACATTTCACCCTTGTGATTGAAAGTCGAACAAAGTCATTTTGTTGAACACATTGTATAGCCTTTCATCTCAGGATGCAACTTGCAAAGTATAAACATCCTGGGACCCATGGTTATTCATAAGAGGTTGTTTAAAGATTTAAACAAATTTGACCCCTGTGACCTTATATATAAGTCAAAGTCATTCACTTTAACAAACATAGTAGTCCTTGATCTCAGCATATGCTACTGCCTAATATATCAACATCCTGAGCCTTTTGGTTATTCAGAACAAGTTGTTGAAATATTTTGAACATATTTGCTCCTTGTGACCTTGTA